TACACACAAAGGACCTAATCCAGCATTCATTATAGTGGCTGGGGTAACTCTCACAAGGACTGTAATCGATTTTTCTTTAGGCCTAAATTATTCCACCTGTGTGTTATATATGCTTTCCCCTAGCTCCATGTTCTGCCTATTTCTGTGATACTGTTGCTGCCTTTCCATGTTTTATTTATATTTTAAAGTATACTTATTACTGTAGCAGGACCTGTATTATGTGAGATTGACCAAAACAGATTGAAACACCTTCCTGAGAAGAGAGTGGATGTGAATTTTTTGTAGTCGTTTTACTGATCAGCCAACCTGTTGCCTTTTGTGTAAGATCTTCTAGGGATGTAGAGGTGCTTCCTCTTTAGTCAGAGATAAAAACAGCTATTCAGTTCACTCTTACTTGTCTCTTAAGAAGTGAAGCAAGATCTCTCAGTTTCAAAAGAGGCATTCACTGTGTGCCTCTAAGATTTTGGGAACTTTGCAATGTGTATTTAAGTGTATTTAATTCTTCATTCCCTTGTACTACTGAAATTAAAATCAGGACAGAAATCCATGAAGGGCTAAGAAATAACAAAGAAAAAAAAAAGAAAAAAAAGAAGCAAAGCAAGGAATATGACTGTGTTTTGCAGAAGTAAACATCTGAAGTGGGTGTGGCTCCTGTACTGTAAGGTCTGTATGTCGGATAGCACCTCTTCTGTGTCTACTTTGTTGTGCATGTGCATAATATCCTTGTTGAGGAAAAACATAGAAAGGGTGCCTGATGCTCCTCAGAAGTGGGATGTAAGTGCTAAGTCCCTTGGTCTTTATTCTGGTAAAATGCTAGAAGGGATGAGAGCCTTGTTTGGTTAATGACTGCAGCAGGCAGCTCCCAGATCTGCAGAATCCTATATGGAAAAGTCCCATGGAATACAGTAAAATCTGATCACTTCTGTTGAACAGTGCCATAGAATTCACCTGACATAAAAGGTCTCAAATAAAATCAGCTAGGATAGGTTTAGTTTAACGACAAAACAAATAAAAAACCAACAGAATAAATACTCAATAGTTTCCTTTTTTAAAGGAAATTCTGTTAAACTCAGTCATTTGTTTTAAGACCTGTTAAATTCTACCTGACTTCCTCCTACCAGAAGGTCAGCCTCGGTGTGTAAAATCATAATGGTTTATTTGAGGTTTCCTAACAGAAGGTCAAAACTTGGTGTGTAAAATCTTAATGGTTTATTTGAGCAGCTTTCAGAATTGCAGTAGTAAAGCTCACCTTTTGTAAGCTCTATTTCAAAAGGTAAGTTTTCAGCATTTGTTTGTGCTTCTTTTAACAACCTGAGTGTAAACCTGCTTTATGTTCATGCTATTGCCCTGTTACATTCTCTGTATCTCTAAATGTATGCTTCCAAGTCATTGGGGTCCTGAGGACATCTTTCAAACCAGTATTATTTAAAGTTTTATCATATTTTCAGACTCCACTAATTATACAGTACTGTAGTGGCAAAATATAATTTTTAAGGATTGGATTATTTTTATACCTTCATCCAATATTGTTAAATCTGGCGTTCTAGTCAGTATTGCAAAAGGATACAATAAAGCTATGAATATTACAATGTCTCAGCTTTTTCATTGTCTTTAGCTTTCCCTGTAAAGAGATTCATACACAACTATAATTGGAAATATAATCTAGAAAACAAGAAATTTTATAGTTCTTTTGCTCTTCTTGTCGTGCTTGGTGATTGAATACCTAAAATGAAAAGCAAAGAAGAAATGAGTATGTTCTGTTAGTTGTGCTAAATGAGCTTCTACTCAGCTGAAATACAAGATGTGTTCTGATACATTTATCATTAAGAAGCTAATTAAGTAGCATTAAGCAGCTCAGTTTATTTTTTTCATCAATTTAATTTTTCATCTCACTGGAATTGCAAGAGAATTAGTGAGGTTGTGGGTTTTTGTGTGTTGGAGAGGAGGAAAACCTCAGGAGAGGTCGGTGCAGCATAGCTGTTTGCAAGGGCAAGGGACTGGACCTGACCACAGTGAGATCAGTCCTGCCTCAGAGAGCTCCACAGGGGACTGTGAAGAATATACATCTTAGTGTCTCTTAGAGGAAGAAAGAAGAGGATACCCTGAATCCAAATGAGCACAATGTCCAGCCCAGCCTGATGGGAAGAGGTGTGATGTGGAAGAGCATCTGGAATAATGGCAGGTATGCTCATCTGGGACTAAGGTGGGATTCATCTGCTTTATCGAAACTTAGGTGGCAGATTGAAGCTATTTGAACCAACCATTTGGCTCCTCTAGTAGACATGAAAATATACAAGCATTAGCAGAGAGTAGCTGCCCCCATGGTAAGATAACCTTCACCCTTGACAGTAGTGTCACAAGACCCCACACTAGACAGCTGTCCTAGATGAAGTAAATGCCACTTGCAGAGAAATGGTGAGTCTAGAGTATCTTCATAGAATAATAAAATCATAGAATGGTTTGGGTTGGAAAGGACTTTAAATATTATCTAGTTCCAACACCGTGCCATGGGCAGGGACACCTTCCACTAGACCACTTCCACTAGGTTGCTCAAAGCCCCATCCAACCTGCCCTTGAGTACTTTAAGGGATGGGGCAGCCATAGCTTCTCTGGCAATGTATTCCAGTGCCTCATCTCCCTCATAGTGAAGAATTTCTTCCTAATATCAAATCTAAATCTACCCTCTTTCAGTTTAAAGCCATTCCCCCTTGTCCTGCCACTACTTGTTCTTATAAGAGCACAGCTTGGTGTTGTCAGCAGACTTGCTGAGGGTTCATTCAATCCCACTGTCCATGTGGCTGACAAAGTTGTTAAACAGCTCCAGTCCCAATACCAGGCCCTGAGGAATGCCACTTGTCACTGGTCTCCATTTGGACATTGAACTGTTGACCACAACTTTTTCAGGGGCTGCCATCCAGCCAATTCTTTATCCACCAGGTGGTCTATCTGTCAAATCCATGTCTCTACAGCTTAGAGACAAGGATGTTGTACGTACAGTGTCAAATGCTTTGCAAAAGTCCAGGTAATCTTGCTACATTCTGAAACTTATAGTCTACTTTTTACTTGGATATAGTACAGAATTGTGTTATATGCCTGCTCCCTGTCCTGTAAGACTCCAGTGAGAAAATAATGGAGAGAGTAACATGATTAAATCCTGAGGTTCTGTTCATTTGCAAGAGAAGGACTGCTAGCAGTGCCTCAGTTTTGTTACCAATACCATTGCAAGTTGTTCTATTTTATGTGTGACATCCATGTCTTTTAAGCAAATTGGCAGTGCAAAAGAACTGGTCACAGCATTGTCATAAGACTAGGGAAAAGACCCTTGCAAATACAGACAAGAACATGATTTAACAGTTCTTCCCACTTCAGATTTGCATACCAGTGCCTCTGAGACCACCAGTGTGTGCCCTCAACCATCTTGTGGATCACTTGAAAAGAAGTCGAAGTGTATTTATCTGCTTCCCCTGATCATGGGTAAATCTGCATGTATAGCACTTTCATTTAGACTTTCTGGAGGGTTTTTTTAAAATTTATAGCTAATTGAAACATACATTTCTACTTGTGTATGTAATGTGCAGTGGATGAACCAAATTACATATGTAGTAGTAAAATATATAGGAATTTAGTAAGGAATAGGATTGAAAAAAATACAGAGGAATAAAGTATCCGTCTGATGGATACTTTGTAGTATCTGTCTGTAGGTAGATGCTATAAAGAAGTATAGAAGACACTTGCTCCTACTTGAATGTATGTCTTCTGGCAGCGTGATTGCCCCTTAATTACATGCAAATTACAGCTGAATGAGGCCGCAAAGGACTATGGACCTCCTAATAGATAAATGAGGCCTTTTACCTTTGATATTCCATTTTCCTGCCATCAACAAAGATCAAGAGAAAAAATTCTGTTACTAAGTACAGCATACTTTATTCCACAACAATCACATAACAATCCATAACAATGTCTATGCTCTTGGTTGCCATGTCTGAGCCTTGATGCACAGCTCTGGCTTTATAGCTTCTGGAGAGTTATTTAGTTATATCTGGAAGAGAGTTTTCTCTGTAATTCCTTACAGGACTTCACAACTGCTGTGGCTATTTGAGTCTGGATTAACAGTCAACTATCATTTAAATATGTGCTTAATAATGTCATTAATAATTGCATTAGAGCTGCTGATGTGTCACAGACATCAGTTCTCCTGTTCAGGTAATTCTCTGTCTCTTCTCCTTAACCATCAAGACTCCATTACTAATTCCCCTACAAACTGTCAAGCAATGCGGCACACACAGCTTGTCATCCCTCTTCTTCCTGGGAAGAGCCTGTTGTGACTACTGGTGCATCACAGAATGGACAGGGAAGGGCAAGCAGAGACAAAAAGATCTGATATGTGCAGGGGCATGTCTGTTCAGCACGTTATTTCCTGGGGGAACTGCTGCCTTCTGCATTGCAAATAATTCACACTTCCCAAACTGTGATCATGATAAACAAGAACAACCAGGTAAGAGTGGAAGTGAACTCTAAAAATACAGGTAATACGCCAGCCCCTGATGTGCATTCACTGTAGAGAATAGTTTTAACGTGGGACTACACACCCAACCAGTAGATACCAGTGTAGCCAGCAAAGCTACACCGTTTACACGTGCTGAAGACCCGACCCTCATTTTCAGTAATCATCTGGGAAGCTCTCTTGGTCCTATAGTCTTGCTTCATAGCCAACACAGTGAGATTTTAAGACCTGGGTTATTCTGATTGCGCCTTGAGGCAGCATTGGAAAATCAGGGCATATTGTCAGGATTGAAGAGTCCTGACAATATGGGAGGATATTGACAGAGGACCACTGGCATACAGCTCCGCCAAACACCCTGACAGCCTCCCTCCCCTCTGCACACCGATTTCCAGCTGAAGCACATGCTGTGGCTGCCCAAATGGCTGGTATCTGAGGGGTTTGGGTCTTGCTGGGGTCCCACAGCACAGTCTTCTCAGGACTGAAATGCTTTATTCTAACCAGACTTTGGGTTCAGTTTTTGGGTGGCCCCTGCTCTCCATGAGGTGAAGCTGGGAGGGCAGTGGAGGCCTGGGGCAGAGGTCAGATGCTGCCCAGCAGGGTGGTACAGTGCTCTGGTGACAAACACTCCACAGGCATTTCTTTCCCTTTTTCTGCCAGCTCCTTGGCAAAGGAGTGTTTTAAGGAGGAGTCCAGAGGAATCAAATGGGTTGGAATGGGCAACTGGCACAAGAGTGAGCCACCACAGGGGCAGGAGCTGGATTCAGCATGGCCCAGGGGGCAGCTGGAGTGAGAGGGGTCTGTGGAGGGCCTGAGCACACTCCCCGCAGTCCTGGGGCTGGCTCTGACCCTGGCCACCCTCGCAGGCCAGCCCTGCTCCCTGGGCAGGGGCAGTGGGACAGGCTCTGTCTGCTCCTGGTCCCCCGCCACCCTCAGCCATGCAGCTCCCTGACAGCAAGCATGAACTGCGTTGAGCCCAGGCTCTCCTGACCCTAGCTCTAGCTCCTAAGGGACTCCCTAAGCCTGGCCTGATCCCCCACAGGACTCCCACTGCCATGGGAAAGGCTGGGGACAGTGCCCATGACTGGACCTGGGCCCAGCACTGAGCTCCCAGGCTGGGAAAGGGAGGGCAAATTGAGACCCCGTCTTCGTCTCCCTTCAGAGCTTGGCATTTCTGCCACCCCACATAACTACCCTGGAGACCACAAGGGTGGCTGTCATGGGGCTCCCTCCAGGTCTGAGGGCCAGTCTCAGGCTGCCAAAGGGCAATGCAGATGCTGCCCAGGAGTCACTGTGAGGACTGGGGGTAGGTGTGGGGAGCAGGCTGCACTGGAGGGTCTTCAGGGCTGGAGGGGCAAAGGAAGATGCCTATAAACCACCCCATGGTTTGGACTCAGCATCCTGAGCAGGACCGCGTGGCAGGGTGCAGAGGGATGAGGCCACTCATTCCACGTACTGTCAGAGAGGCATCCATCCATTTTTGCTGTCTGTAAGTCACTAATGTTTCCTGGTTCAGTACAAGTTAAAAGTTTAGGACAGCCCTCAGATCAGGAATGACTTGAGCAATTCTTCTGGTCATTCACACCCTCCATACAAGGAGAGCCACCCTCTGAATATACAAGATTAATACACACAACTGCTGTTCTTAAAACAGCAGGTGAAACAAAAGAACGTGAGGTATTTAACACACAGAGCTGTTATTTTGCATTCAGAGATGTGTTCATAACCTGCCAGTGCTGCTGGCAGTGGAGTGTGCCATAGGAGACCAGCTGCACAACCATTAGAGGTGGCTTTGTGGGGGGTACCCCAGTGCATTGCTTATCCTTCTTGTCCATATCTGATAACAGCAGGATAGGCTGTGTTCATTTCATAGAAAGACTTTACTGGCAGTTGTGGCAGGATCTAGGCTCACCCAGGCCTTCAGAGTAAGTGAAATGACAGCTTTGCCTGAAGAGGAGGAATTGGAAATCACCATGGGCCGTCCGACTTCAAATGGCCTCAAGCAGCACGTTTTACTGGAGCACAGAGCAGAACAAGCACACTGTTCAGCTAGAGAATTTGGGCAGGCGAGGCACCTAAAAATAAGATGTTTTGGGAAAACCAGATCCTGCCTGCAGAGACTTTTCCAATTTTGGTCTCTAGCTAGCAATTTTCAGAGGCTTCCTGGGATGCAATATCAGAAAATCTGTCTCCCACTTGTTTTGCCTGTGTCACAGCTGTGTTACCAGCTTCATGGCCTTCTGGGCTACTTTTTACTTCTAGATCTGCTGTGGGCACCCTGCTTCAGCCTGACCATACCTGTTTCCAAATGTCCCCCCAACTTCTTTTCAAGAAAGAAGCACTGCCACCCAGATAAAGTCAAAAAGCATCTGTCCTGCCTGCTCCCCTTTCTGCTGCCGCACCACTTTGGTGAACTTGTAACACATGTAAGACGGCAGCAAACAAAACATCCATAATCACTGCTAGAAAGGCCAAGGTCAATACTGTTTCTTTGATGTCAAAAATGCAGGTGTTGTCTGTTCCTTTTTACTCTGCTGGGCAGCAAGAAGTGCTTTGGAATAGAATTTTGCTTATAAGGAAGGAATAATTGGAGTCTGAGGCATAGAACACTTCTGAACTGATACTTTACTGCAAGGGAAGTGAGCATGTCGGTCCCAGGTACTCTGCTCCAAGTGCATAATTAGCATGCCTTGGGATGGGATAGCTTCTTCCACTTTAAGAACAGATTATAAAACACCCTCTATTTAATTTGCACTGAAGGTGTCAGTATGGAGACCTGGCAAAGGACAGCTTGTGTGCTGTCAGTTCCCAGGTCAGCTTATTTAGCAGTAACTTCCTTGTTAACAGGTCTCGAGCATTTATCACTTAAAGGAAGAAAAAGCCTTGCAGGTCCAGGAATCTCCTCCCAGCCAGAGGAAGAAATAAAACACAGCTTGGATCTGTCATTTGCTGCTTGCTGCCATGACGTCAGCTTGGGGCTGAACCTTCCACCTGTTGCTCGGACCTTAAACGAGCTGACGCCAGAAGAGAAAAGCACTTTCTCTTGAGTTTAGCAGCAAGTAGCAGCAGCAACAGAAGTCGCAATGAGGTGCTGTGTAGTCCTTGCTGTCCTGCTCAGTCTGGTGCTCTTTTCGAAAGGTAAGAAACACTATCTTCTGTTTTGGGATTTATCAGGGCAGTGTCCTGGGTTCAGCTATTCTGTGGCAGTGAATGGGTTGCTTAGCACTTTCAGCAGCTGCTGAGGAGCTGGAGGTCAGTGGCGCTACAAAATTCAGCATGCCTAGATTTTGATTAATTAGCAACAAAAAATTTCACAGTTTTCCTTGTTCACAGAACAATGCCAAACCAGTGGTGCTTGTGATTAACCTAATTTAGTCCATTCTAAGAGCAGTTTTCAGGACCTGCACGCTAAACCCAGGTAATTCAAGCTCTATTACCGTCACAACAAAAGGTGCAACTGTTCCACCCCAGTACCCAGGGAAAGGAGTGCTGCCACTGGCTTTCTGGCCAAGGGCTCCTAAAGCAATCAGCCTGGAAAACAGCACTACTACCTTTCACCCCCTCCTATTAAAATTAATCATCACCACCAACTTGGGTGGCAGAGGGTTGCACCGTGGTCCATTTGAACTGAAGGGCAGGTGACATTTCTTAAGCTATTTTTCCTGGTGTTGAGACAAACTTGGACCCTGGGCCAGAGCACAAACTTGGCTGTCTCCAGTATTCAGTGACAGATACAAGGGAGAGAAGGCATTAGCGGAAGTAGAGTTAAGGCTTTTATGTGAAAAGTTTTGTGGTGACTTGAAGCTGTGGGAGGTCAGGAACTCTCAGCTCATACGGAAATAAAGCTACAGAAATATGAGCCAAATTAAGACCCTCACTGATGCTGTTAAGCTTGCAACAGGTGACATGGTTGTGGACTGTTTTTTGTTGACTACTGTGAGTGAATATATGTATTTGAACATATGTATAACAACTACAACATGCTACAGACCAATTTTTACCTATAAATTATAAGCATGTAAGTCTTCAAGACTGTCAGTTGTTTTTCTGATTCGAGGATTGTGGGTAACATCATGATGTGAAAAATCTTGACCCAAGAGCAAATGAAAGCAATGTGAGTCCTTCACTTACTTTAACAGACTTTGCATCAGGATGGGCCTGCCCAAAACAATTTTTCATTCTAAGCAAGCGTTGTAAAAGCTTTGCAGGATGTATCTGTTTGAATAGTATTGGCAAAAGCCCTGCCCTTTTCTGCAGGTAGTCTCTCTTATTCCATGATCTCCATTTCTTTATCTCTATAGTAAAGACATAAGTCTCTTAACACAGCAGGTTGGGTCTAGGCAGATAGAGCCATAAAATAACCACCTTTGCTCAGGTTACCTTTGACAAGCTGGTCAGCAAGGTTCAGTTGCATCTCATGTGCTCTGTGATCACCACAGATGTGATTCTTCCCAAGTCCAAATGATACTCATGGACAACTTAGCCAGAGCCTCTACAAGGCTAACAGTTCTAGACTAAGAATTAGCTCTGTAAAAGCTTACTGCCCCAAGATCCTGAAACAGGATCTTGAGATCTAGACTGAGAAGGCAGTATAAACAATGCTCCAAAACCATGGTCTGTGGACAGCATAGATTCATATTATCCTCACTGTAGGAAAAAAGTACCTTTCTTTTCATTGACTGAGGAACAAACAATGCTGCATATAGGACTTTCCTGGGTTCAGCTAGGAGTGTCCTCACTCAGTGACCAGTGGAGGCAGAAAACTTGTCAAAAAACTGGCACTGGTGTTTCTCCTTCACCTAAATACAAATGGCTTGCTTACTTCAGGCTTTGTCTTTTTGATGTGCCTTTTCTATGTCAGCTTTATTGATCAGAAGAAAGAAGTTCATAAAACTTGCCTCACTTTGGATTTTCGAAGCCCTACAAAGCTCTTGAAAAGTGAAGTCTATTTTTCAAATGTCTATTAAGATTTCAGTGTTTTTTTAATATACTAGCTATAAGAGTGAATTAGTGCCAAGGATTTTAGCTACAAATACATTAATCTTCCAGCTGCATGCTGTTAATGACTCAGATTAAATTATGATTGCAGTGGCATTAACTCAGAGTAAACATGTTTATTCTTAACTCATGTATTAACTAATTCAGAGTAAATATGATGCAAACTGGCCATTTGTCAGCCTTTATCCGCAAGGCTGGTTTAGTAGTTGTTCTCTTTATTTCTAGACAAAAAGAAAACAAAAAAAACACCCAAAACATTCCTTGTATCAAGAGTTAAGAATGACACAATTTGAATATAAAATAAACAACCTAAAATAAGTAGACACTTTGGAAAAGTAAACATAGTAACAGGTAAAGCTGAAACCATAATGTGAGGAAAATTTTCTTCAACTGTTCTCTGGTATCAGCCAGGTTTCTATTTATGCAGAAAGAATTATAACAAGGATGGAAAGAATGAGGAAAAGTAATGTATGTAACTGCCATAGTGGCATGGAAGTGTAGTCCTGGAAAGAGGGTTTGATATCACCGATGATATTTTAGCAATATATGCATTCTCTGAATAAAAATACTCTGCTTTCAGTGTCCACTTCAATAGTTACACCATAGGAGAGGGTGATAGAAAATGTGATCATTACTCTACTACTGCTCTGAAAGAGTCCATATATCATTTTACAGGCTGTTTCTACTGAGAACATCTTCCAAGCTGCAAAAAAGCTATATATGTGTCTTGCAGTAAAAGTATTTTTTGTGGATTAATCTGAGGTCTAGAGCAAAATCTGAAAACTCACTGTGAACATGTTAACAGTGGAGTGCAATATCATGTAAATCTGATGAAATGCAGAACAAGCAATGAAGATGCATGATGATAAAATAACTGGCTGTTGTAGGGATGCTAAAAGCAAATTGATGTAGCAGGAGAAAGTGGCAACACTGGCACAAGGTCAGAGCACAGCTGCTTATGCTCTCAGGTTGGAACATAGGCATTGTGAGAGGGATCACCTGAAAATGCTCTGACATCCAGCAAAGGATGAATGCTAAGGCATTTGGAAGGCAAGGGGAGCATCCCTGCATGGAGATAGCATATAACTATAAGGAAGCAGGACAAAATCACGCAGGGAAGAAAGGCAGAAAGAGTAAAAAACTACAATAACTAGGAAGGAAACAAATGCCAGGGTATGGAAGAAAGGCTTCAAGTTAAAAAAAAGACACCAAAGAGGTATGGGGCCTGGGCACCGACCAAAGCCATCCCAGGGATTTGGCAGCTAAACCCACTACAACCCAACTCAGAGTTTGTGCTGCACACACAGTTACCCCAGAGTTTCCCAAAACAAAATACTAATCAGTGCTCCCACCTCTTTTTCACTGCATCAGGAAACAGTGATATAGTTCCTGAGACAACGCCATCGACAACAGAAGGAAGTGAAGGTAAGGAGCAAAAACCTTCTGTCAGCCGCTTCCACGGCACAATAGGAGTTACCCAGTCCAAGGGAGCAATACCGTCCGCACAGACAGGGACACCTTCCCCTGACTGGGTTTGCCCAGGTTATTCTCCCAGGGGAGACAAAGGTGCCTGGGTCAATGCTGCAAATCCTCCCCAGCTGTTCCTCTTTCCCCGCTGACCTTTGCTGTCAGGTCAAAGTCTTGCAGAAGATTTGAAGTGGCTGCTCCTTTCCTGCCTTGTGCCTTTGCTTCATGCACCGGTCTCAGGTGCAAGAGGCTCCTGCAGAGGAGGTGTGCAGGGCAAGGCCGAGACCGGTCCTTGCAGAGAATTGGTCCTGGGGCTTTTTGGAGCATGGAAATGGAGGAAAACACCAGCATGAAGCTGAGTGTGAACGGGCATGTCAGGGGATGATGGAGCATCCCCTGAGAGGGATGCTCCATACCTGGTTAAGCTGCCTGTGCCAGTGTTGTGCTGGATGCCCCATGCAGGTAGGTCATACATGCTATTGGGTCACCGTGAGGAGGGGAATCCCTTCCATGGCTGCCCTCAGCTTGTGCTCCACAGCGGACTTGGACAGGGGCATCCCTCCTGCTAGCACCTTAGTTTCCCATCACACCTGCCTGCTGAGTGCTCCCACCTCTTTTTCACTTCATCAGGAAACAATGATACAGTTCCTGAGACAACGCCATCGACAACAGAAGGAAGTGAAGGTAAGGAGCAAAAACCTTCTGTCAGCCGCTTCCACGGCACAATAGGAGTTACCCAGTCCAAGGGAGCAATACCGTCCGCACAGACAGGGACACCTTCCCCTGACTGGGTTTGCCCAGGTTATTCTCCCAGGGGAGACAAAGGTGCCTGGGTCAATGCTGCAAATCCTCCCCAGCTGTTCCTCTTTCCCCGCTGACCTTTGCTGTCAGGTCAAAGTCTTGCAGAAGATTTGAAGTGGCTGCTCCTTTCCTGCCTTGTGCCTTTGCTTCATGAACCGGTCCCAGGTGCAAGAGGCTCCTGCAGAGGAGGTGCGCAGGGCAAGGCCGAGACCGGTCTTTGCAGGGAATTGGTTCTGGGGCTTTTTGGAGCATGGAAATGGAGGAAAACACCAGCTTGAAGCTGAGTGTGAACGGGCATGTCAGGGGATGATGGAGCATCCCCTGAGAGGGATGCTCCATACCTGGTTAAGCTGCCTGTGCCAGTGTTGTGCTGGATGCCCCATGCAGGTAGGTCATACATGCTATTGGGTCACTGTGAGGAGGGGAATCCCTTCCATGGCTGCCCTCAGCTTGTGCTCCACAGCGGACTTGGACAGGGGCATCCCTCCTGCTAGCACCTTAGTTTCCCATCACACCTGCCTGCTGACCCCAGAGGTACCCGAGTTGCCCAACACAAAACACTAATCAGTGCTCCCACCTCTTTTTCACTTCATCAGGAAACAATGATACAGCTCCTGAGACAACGCCATCGACAACAGAAGGAAGTGAAGGTAAGGAGCAAAAACCTTCTGTCAGCCGCTTCCACGGCACAATAGGAGTTACCCAGTCCAAGGGAGCAATACCGTCCGCACAGACAGGGACACCTTCCCCTGACTGGGTTTGCCCAGGTTATTCTCCCAGGGGAGACAAAGGTGCCTGGGTCAATGCTGCAAATCCTCCCCAGCTGTTCCTCTTTCCCCGCTGACCTTTGTTGTCAGGTCAAAGTCTTGCAG